AATTAGTGCACACATATTAAATCCACGCATTAGCAGAATTTAGAGATTTGGATAAATCTTACTCATTTCCACTTTAGTTCTTTTCTTTGATTTTATTATTTTTTATTTCTCACTTTTACAAAAAGACACAAAGGGTAATAGAAAAAGTACTGGGTGAACCCAAGGGCTCAAAGGGTTGTAGTCGCCAATACAAAGTTAGAGGCCAGACTCTAGTGGGGTTCTCCAGCAACTGGCATGGGTGCCAATATTTTCTAAAGTCTCCATTGAAGCCCCAAGCAATGGGGCAGAGTGCAGCTTCAGTAAGTTTGCTGATGATCAAAAACTGGGAGGAAGGCCTGGTACACCAGATGGGTGTGTTGCCATTCAGACGGACCTGGACAGACTGGAGAAATTTTACAACGGAAGTCTCTTGAAGTTCAATGAAGGGAAGCATGAAAGTCCCACAACTGGGAAGCAATAACCCTCACACCAGTCTGGACTGGGGACTAAATATCTGGAAAGCAGTTTTGTGAAGAAGGACCTGGGATCCTGATGGATACCACTTGAAACATAAGCCAGCAGTGTGTATAAATACATGATGAGGTCAGGGAGCAAAAAGACAGAGCTAGAGACTCTTATCCATTGTACCCATTGAGAGGACAAAACACAACAGCCAGAAACTGAAATAAGGAGACTGGACTAAAATATAAGAAAAACTTCTTTTATCTTCTTTACTCTAAGGTCAAACAGTACAATAGGTTGTCCAGCAAAAGGTTGGGAAGATACTCAAAACACAACTGGAAAAGATACTCAGCATTCTGCTCAGGCTAACTCTGCTCTGACCTGTAGGTGTGGCCTTGTCAATCTTCAGATGTCAATTTTGACATCCCTTCACAGAATCTCAAAAATTCTCTGATCCTGTGGTATTTGTGGCTGACAAATGCCTACATAATTTTCTAAACCTTTTCATTTCATGCCATCTCTCTTTCTTTCTTCCTCCTTCAAAACTTACCCTGACTTACCAGATAATTTCCTATTTCCTTCTCCCTCCTGCCTTTATTTTTATGCCCATTATCTTGCCAGAACAACTGTTCTCTCCCACTCTACCTGCTCTCAATTTCACATGAGAACTTATGCTTTCTCCCATGCTGTTACCAGCATATACATTCAGTATCAGAAAAAAACCCTTCTTCCTTTTGTTTCTAATCCATCCCTCAGTGTTTTCATTTCTTTCAATGCCTTTATAATTTGAACATGTTTATACTACCACTCCTTCAAAACATCTGCCTGTCACATTTACATTGTCTATCTGCTAAGGTATCTCTCATTTTACGTGGAACTGTATACTCTTCAGGAGATGAGGCAGTATTTTGTCCTCTGACAGCACAGAGGTCTCTTAGCTGTTAAGACTGAACTACTGATAGATGATCTTGTCTGTGCCTTCACCCAGATACACACTTTTTCTGCTCATCACATTTTTATCTGTTTTTAAGAGCTGTTCATTGCATTTAAGCACACAGGATTTAAGACACAGAGTATCACATTCAAATGCAATATTAATGACTTTGACATAATGATGGCTCCCAATGACGTGTTTTGCCTTCTTAGAAAGGTCTATTCCTTCTTCTCCATTGATAACAAGTGATCTAACTCATACTGAATTCCCTGCTGAATAAATAAATGAATAAATAAATGTAGCCCTAATCGTCAGGAATTAATTCATGATAATGTGGTCATGAAGAGTCCTTTTTAACTTCAAACAGCTTTGGAAAACACCATTATTTAGACATATGCAATAACTAGGGAGATATAATCTTATATATTGCCTTGGACACTCAATCTAGATTCCAAAAATCCAAGTGCAGGATAATGACTTTACTGGACAAGTGTTATACTTAGGATGGTAGAACACAGTCTAGCTAAACATATTCTGAAAGGTGTTCCTAAAGTAGCTGTCCTTACTGCCAAAGTGAAGGCTTTAAACATCTTTATGAGAAAAAATATACCTGTGCAGAAAGGAGGGGCAATTTGTGAAACTATCAAGGAAGTTTAACAATTTTAATATCAGGGAATATGTATGCATGTGTGTTAATATAGAGCAAAAACGCATACTTTTATTGCCAACCCTCAATTGGAGAATCAAGAAATACTGAAATCTGGCTTGTATAATATCATAAAGTAGGTTTCTTCTTGGAATGGTCATATATTCTCTCTTTCTGTTGTATATGACTACAGGTATCTGTGATACCTGTAATGAATGGTAAATACGTATGAAAGAAGGATGTTAAATAATAGAACTCATAACAAAGTTCCCACATCTTGAGAATGACACTACCCACCATGTGATTGTCAACATAACTCTTCATGATATTTTATTCCTTTAAAGATTTCTCAAGTTCAAGTCTTCTAATAATTGGGAAAGTTTGTTTAAAGGGGAAAAGAAAGATTAGCAACTTTCACAGAATGAGCAAAATGGCCCCATAATTTATGCTTCCTCTTTAACCCATAATTTAAACACCAGGAATCATTTATGAAAGGTTTTCAGGAGTCTGCTTACATTGTGAGCTGTACGGTCTCCATTATTTTTTGCAATAATATATGCTGGCACAACATCTAACAAAATGGCTCCAGAATAAGCAACACTGCAAATTGCTGCTTTAGCTGTTGAATCAGTTTGTATACTGTGTGGTCTTTTTCATAATCTTCATTGCATAGCACTGCAGATTTCCTGATGACATTTTGTTCGCTGGAGCAGCTAAGAGTATACAGAACCAGTGAACTGAAGTCCTGACCAATGTGCTGTGACTGACACTTAATTCACCATTTACCCACTGCTGTACATGATATATAGGAGGGTGATATGCACATGACCCCATCCTCAGTGTGTTTGGGATCAAGTATTAATCTTCAGCAGACAGCTTTACAATGACGTAGAAAACTCTTTTGTTCTGAATGACCACAAGTACATGGAGTTAGTAACAAAACTTATTTCTAGTTATGAAAGACTAATTAGTGAATTATATTCATTAGCACAACTATACCCTGAGAACTATAATACTATCAGAATATTTGACTTTTACAGTGACAATTTACAAATGTGCAAACTAACACAGTGCAGTAGATTCTGATGCTATTCTGTCTTTCAGAAATAATTTGGCCCTAAAAAGCCCTATCAAGCAAATAAAAGACATAAGAATAACTGGAAAGGAAAGAAAATCTGGTTTACTAAATTTTTTACTTGTCATAGTAGACAGAAAATTTCATCCTTTTGGCTATCCAAATTTCTTTTTTCTCCTTGCTCTGTATACATGCCTTACAAAGGATAATTTACACCAACGATGTTATTCTGTTGACAGTCACATCAATGCTGACTTGTAATAACTGCATCTGCATAGATCTGGCTTCCTTACATTAAATGCCACTGGTTGAATAGGGCTTTTGCCAGCAGTTGAATATAGCTCTCAATATTTGAAAAAATTGTCAGATTTGGGGTTGTTTGTCAACAACGATACGTTTCTTTTAGAAGACCATTAAGGTCAGTATTTCTAACAAAGAACACATGTACATATACATGTACTTACATATATGTATACACACATTTTGTGAAGCAAACCCCGGAACTCACAACCAACGTGCAAAGATGAAGAAAATCCTGCATAGATCATTGCTTCTGTGGGCAACTAGATTTCTGATATTTTCTTACTTATGCCAATATGAAAACATATTTGTACTACTGACCTTGGATACAGAACAGTTCGTATATCTTATCAGAGATCTAATTCAAAGCTTGATGGAAAGACTCAGCCTGGCTTTAAGGCACCTTGGAAAATCCTTCAAACTCACAGTATAAGATAAAAGCTTTTGAATAATACATTTTAAAGCTTAAAAAGATCTCTCTTCAGTTATTTTCTCCAACCACTAGATCATTTTTTGTAAAAAACCCCAGTCTTTTCACACAACATCCTCCTTTCTGTTCTGAATATGCCAACAGGTAACAGCAGGAGAAACTTTTAAACATAACAAATATAGTGAAGATGTATCTTAGTACTATATATGCCTGCAAGATACTTTTCTGTTATACTATTATTGGTAAGTGCACATCCATTTATAATGCTAAACTTACTGCATCAGAAGTGGTTCTAAATGAGCAGTTTTTCAGCATCAGTAGGTAGGTCTCTGATGTTTGAGAGCATTGACTTTTTTTTTGCTGTGGCTGTTTTCGGATTGTTGGGGGGGTGTTTGTTATGACTAAATATGCAAACTGTATCCCAGTCATACCTTGTGAATCACTAGACTACCCTTCAGTGACCTTATAACCTTCCTCTGAAATTTTCAACAATAGCTACATTTTAAAATGCAACTTAATCAAATCCTTTTGACTTTAAGAAATACTCACATAGATTTTATTTGCGAAGGAGTAACTTTTACTTGCACAATAATTTAAAAGCTATTATTTCAGTCTGAACACTCATTTAAGCAGAATAATTGGCATCAATAGCACTTACCTGATTGTGTGGATAGAGGTTATACAGCTGTTTTCCAATTCAAAACCATGCAATAGCCGTTTTAAAAAAATAATGCAATGTTTGAAATTTATGAAAATTAGTTTTTTACTGAAAATTCTTTTTAAGAGGCTTCTAGACACAAATAGTGCAATTTATTAGATTGTGGTTAAGAGAAATGTGCTATGTATAATTATTTATAGAGAGATACTGCATACAGACCAGGAGGTTTAGATTAGTTGATAAGTTAATCAAGTCATGAGTATTGCATTCCATTGTAACATAATGTCAAGCCTCTTTTGCTAAGAGAAATCGGTTACATGACTATCATACTCTCACCAGCCTACTGAAAGAACTAAAAGAAATCAATATCACACAGAAAGATGGGCCAAGCATGAATCAGTGTGGCAAGCACATAACCAAACAGACATGGGATTAAACAAGAAAAAACAAAAAAAAAAAAAACCCCAAACGAAACCAAAACAAACCAAACAAAACCGACAAAGATTGTCGCTTAACCTGTTTTGTCAGAGCTGGTATTGATGGTATTGGTAGTGATGGAAGTGAAGGTAGTCTTTGCGCTGTCCTTGGTAGTAACAGATTTCTGCTTATTTTTCATGGCTTCCAGTGCTTTGAGCTTCTTGGCATGTTTAGTGCCTTTGTAGTGGGCCGCAGCCTGGCTCTACAAAGGAGAACAAAATGAACCATGCAATCAGGCTCATTTCTAAACTGGCATTCTCTGTATTAGTACAAATACAGACTACCTTTCAATAATGGGTACCATTCACATTATCCAAGTAGTGACCAAACCGAAAATTCTATTTAGAATGATGCTTGGAAAACAATGGAAAAAGTACTCAAGCAACCCAGATTCAATAAATATAGTATATTACTGTATAACAGTATATTACTTTCAGACCAAAATAAGTTGTCTTAGTCTACCTTGCTACCACTAGTTTTTCTATTAAGACTTATGTTGCTTTCACATGAAAAAAAATACAATGCTCAGGCAACGGGGAGGATGGCACTCTCAACAGCTTTGTACTTTTCTAGTTTCCATTCCAAACTTTTGTCAAAACTTTCTTCAAAGAAGAGTTTACTATTAACAGTGGTATCAGGAACTTCTCAGCAAAGACTGACAGTAAAAAACAAACCAAAAACACCCCAACCCAAAACCAAAGCCCAGACAAAAGAAAGGAACTATAGAATGCTCCCTTCAAAGCCCATCACCAAAGACTTAACTGAATGTGAGGCAGACATACAATTAGCTGGCTTTCTTAAAAAAACAAAGAGGATTTCTTTTGCCCACCTGCTACAAAAGATAGTGTTTGAAATTCAAAGATAGGAGCATCCTTTCAAAGGAGAAAGCTCACACAAATCCTGCTCTGGTCCCAAAAATATTTTGGTTGCTTCATATTGTTAAACGAAAATAGACTTGCATGTGCATTGCTATTAAGATTTATGTGTTACACTGCAAGTATCTTTATTATTCCAAGAGTTATTAGAAAATTTCTTCAGCGATTTTATGTGCAAATATATTTTAAGAATAGTATTTGAACTATAACATTAAACCTTGCACAAAACCCACTGGAATTAGTATGAATAGTCAGAGTTTATTTCTTCATTAATTATTTAAATTTTTAGAAGGCTTTCAGTTGATAAGTAGTCTATAAAAAATGCCTACGTTTTTATTGGTGAACTTCAAACTTCATGGAAAGCAACTCTTTTTCTTACTAGAAAGAGCAGTTAATACTTTAGAAATAAAGTCAAAATTTAGCTACTCAGAATTGAACAAATGAAAAGCAACTATTCTGGTTCAGCCCAAGGACCCACAAAGGTCAGTATTTTCTCTTTGGCATGAAACAATAGAAGATATTTAGAACATAAAAGAAAAGTAAATGCTCTCTACTGTGGAATCAGAAGAAGAAAAACACATGTATGGAATTTAGTGTCTATAAACTCAAAGCATCAAAGGGATAAAAAGACACAGCTACTAATACACTAAGCTACTCATGCAGGTAGAAGAATCCTGCATTATCTGGAACCTACTAGTCATTAGACTTTTATTTAAAGCTATTTGAAGTGCTGAATTTTGGAGTCAGAGGAAGTTCTAATGCATATCACTGTAAGAGTGTGTATTAATTATTCCTGCAACTTATGACTTTTAGCTTACATGAAAAGTCTTGATTCCTTCCAGATGCCCAAGATCTGAGAAGCATAAGATGAGTAGGAAAGGAGAGACCTTGTCTAAACCAATAAACACATATATGTGTATGTGTATACATGCATAGATATATACACAAGCATACACTCTTGTATACTGAGATGCATCATTCAGTTTGGTTGCAAAGCCAGTTCTCTACACCTAAAATAATGCAAATATTGTATTAGGTACCCTTATTGAAAGAACACTGGACAGTGAAGTTATTAATTAGAAACAACTTGAACAGAAACAGCACAATCATGCACCTTTTACAATTCTCAACACATAACATTGAGACATACTGTAAGCCAAATACAAACAGTCAAGAGATGTTAATTATCATCAAACTCAAAGACCAGTGTTAAGTTATGATGACGCATTAAAAATGACATTATACAGTACACTCTCATGTTGCTATCATGTCAATTATTTTTACAGTTTCTAATCAAATTTAATTATCAGTCAGATTTAGGTCCTGACTGCACTTGTTTTCCCTAACGAATAGTGTCATTCATCAGATATCAGAAACATAGTCAGAATATGGTCTGTAATACTGAATTACGAATGTTAATATTAGTTTGATACACTGCCCAACTTCCTTCACAGAATTGTTGGCAGAATGGTGTTTAAGTCTCCAGCATCCATAGTTCTCTCCAAATTCTCACAGCTACAGCTCCACACACCTCATCTCAACTTGTGTGTTGGATGCTTAAGGAATATACAATGAGGGTCTATGTAGAAATTGGTGACCTTTTCAGTGCTCAGAAATATATGAATGAAATTGCCATAAAGCAGAAACACATTGCTCAAATTTACAAGTACAATGGCTCCTAGGCAGAGTTGTCCACAACTCACTTCCCACAGAGTGCTGCCAATTTATCCAGCCTCTACTTAAATAAGATCTTCATGCCTTTTTTATTTCAAAGTTTAAATCTCCTTCCTCTGTAAGGACATGAAGCCATCAGAGCTTGTTTCAATATAACTGTAGCTGGCATGTTAATGGCAATTCTATGTGAGAGCAAACAGATTGCTCCTAAGCATTTAACCAGCTCCAAATTAGTTTATGCTGAACTTTTAGAACTGAACTGGAACCCTAAAAAAAACATAAATAGTCTGTCATTATCTTTCCTTGCAGGAGTAAGATGCAGGAAATGGAAAAATATCCATAAATATCTTTTTAAGCACAGCAACATAGAATACGCTGCCTCACTGAATCATTTCTTGCAGCCTTAAGAGGACTAAAATAATCCTCACTGCTTAAATGGCTTTTACTTGTAGCCTATAAAAATAATTCCTTAAATGGTATTTACTAGTACCATTAAGATACATCATAAAATGTAATTATTCCCAACTTTCAACAAATATTGAGAGAGAGCAGAAGAGTGAAAGACAAGTTAGCCCTACATTTTGATGCCAACCATGATGCTTAACTGAATGAAGAGACTGTACCCCTTCAGAAAGGTGAGAAGGGGTCTCCTTCTGGAGCACAGTTCAAGAGTTGCAAAAACCAAGCACATTATATATATATATGTGTGTGTGTGTGTGTGTGTTTAATATTACCTTACAAAGTTGTGCTAAAATTGTGCTCAGATGAGATATGAACACAGGTAACAGGTGAAACTACATCTACAGAAGACAAAGGGATAAAAGGAGGATTTCCCTTTCCATGTTTTGTAAAGGGGTACTGACTTCTATACTTACTCATGACTTTTTTACTTTTTTTACTTTTTTTACTTTTTTTTACTTACTCAATACTGACTTCTTTACTTTACTCGTCTTGATGGAGGCCAGTTTCATTTGAGAAACAACTATTTGATCTAAAATCAGATATTCTCTCACTGTTTAGGAAAACCCCCTTCCTATTACTACAGAACACTCCATAATCATAGTTAATCAGCTATTCAAAAAACCTTCTGATATTACATTCTGTTTCTTTTTATGATTACAAAAGAATACATTGAAGAACACCTTAAGAAAGAGCTTACTTTCTTCCTTCACCACAGTTTCCATGTTTGATCCACAGAATTAACCCTAGCACTGTGAAGACAAGTTGCTGTCAGCTGAAGTGTAACCCAGTCTGTGATGAAGCATGAGAAATATGTCAAACAAACACTGCTAGTCCAGTATAGTGAAAAGTAGATTATTACTTCAAATCTGAAGTTGAAAACTCAAGGATCCCTAAGTAAATTTTGAGGGCCCTGATCCTGGAAATTACATATATACAAACTTTGGTCTATTGGAACTACTTCAATGAAATGGCAAGATGTCTAAATGGCAAATGATTTTTCAATGTTATTTGTAATGACTTCCCACTTATTTGAGCAGTACAAGACAATTTAAGCACCTCTTTTGCAAAACGGAAGTTTCCTCTGGCTCCATGTATCTGCATTGAACAATTAGGGACCTTTATAATCCATACATTTTGCAACCGTTAAAACTTGCTAGCATATAAAAGTGTATTTGTCTATATAAACATACATTGTATATATATCTATATGTATATGCCATAAACACACAGACTAACATACCATAAAAGAATACAAAATTCGATATGCAGGTGTGGGCAGTTAGAAAATACAGCCATAGTGTCAAAGCTCAGCTGTATTTTCTTTGCTTAAGTGCAATATTGTACCACAATCACCATAAGAACATCATATCACTAAGCAAATTGCAATGTGTAAAATACACCAAGAAAGATGAAATATTTTAAACAATCCAAGCAGTATTCTCTTACAATTGCAGCCAAGATATCTACATGGAAGTCTTCAAAATAAGTTTGTCTGCCTGACTCATGTCTTCTCACTCATGTTCCTTAGGCTTTGGTCCAACAAAACCCATTATGCTTAATTTTGTGCATTGAGACAAAAACCAGGTCTCCTCCTATTCTTAGAGAGTATTCAGCTTAGCAGTATCGCATACCTTTCCGTATCCCTTCTGGTCCACCTCATATTACCAATCTCCTTAGAGACTGTTTTTCTGCGTTAATCATTCCCTCTAAGGCAATACCTTCATAATGAAAGCCAGTTCAAAGAAAAGAAACCTTTTGCCAAAAAGTGTAGTGAATATGTTCCACTGATTCATGCTCTCAAAAATTAAATTCAACTATCTTGTATTATGTCTCATTTCACAATACGTTTTGAAAGATGCCCGTTGTGGAGAGTGCTCTGCTCCATGCTTAAATCTGGCCAATTAGTAGTAAGGCTGCAATTTGTCTGCACCCTTAGAAAGCACAAAACAAGGGCTGAGAGTGCTGAAAAGTCCTTTCCATCTGTCAGAAACTTCAGAAGATCATACCATGTCTTTGTTTTTACCAACTATGGGATGCTACCATCACTTCTGCTGTTATCCCCAGTACATGGTAGCAATTTTGACTAATACATCAGCAACTGATGTCAGGATTCTCCAGAATAAAAAGCTCTAAACCAAAAAAAATATTAGATTCTCAGTTAAAACTAATACTGTCAGTGAGCAGGACACAC